AGGGAGGAGGGGAAAATGCAGACTCGGCTCTGGTTCTTCCTGTTGCTGTTCTCATACTGACACGCTGGGGTGCAAGCAGTCCAAAGGCCGTTGATGGGACTGCTGTGCCTAAGCAGTGGCATTGCCGTGCAGTCCTCCCTTTCCGCTGGGATGGCTGCTGCTCTGTGCGCGTCGGCAGAGCGCCAAATGCAGCGGCTCTTGCAGCCCAGCCAGAGGACTAAACACATCAGCAGCAGCCGCAGTGAAAGGAAAGCAGTGCCCAGGCTCTGCTTAATTATTTTCCTCCTTCTCTGACTCCCTCTTTGCTAATAAAACCTGACAGCCTCATTAGCACGTGGTTGGCTGGCCAGAGCACAGAGCCACTGTGCATTTTGCAGGGGCTCCAGCAGGGGGCATCGGTGCTCCTGCTCCGAACAGCCCCCCCCCCGCTGGGTGGTCTGGAAGTGACTGAGGCCCCTCTGCACCAGCCTGTCACCCCTCCTCCAGGGAGCACAGGGGAACCTCTTGTCCTTGGGCCTGATCTGAACCATGGAGGGTTGAGTGCCCTCCATAAGCCCCCTCCCCTGGCCTGGAAGCTAAGAGGAGCTTGGGGATGAGGTGGGGGGATGAGTCCTCATATTTTCTGTGATCAAAAGCGACCCTCTTGAGTGCAGCCCCACTTCCCAATGGGGAAAGGAAAGATGGGTGGGCTAGATGAGGGCATGGGGGAGGGGAGGGGAGGGGCAGGGTCCCACCCTTGACCCCCTCTGGCCCGCTAGCTCGATCAGGGCAGAAGTCCACAGGCCAGGAAGCATTGCCCACCCATATGCTAGCAGAACTACGTCTTGCTTTTGTTTCCCCAGCTGGTAATGCTGAAGCCGCAAACCGAGCCTCTCTGGTGCTCGCTAGCTAGCTCTTTGGTTCACCCAACTCCGCGCCTGATGTGGTTTAGAAGAAGAGTCAGGGCCGCCTCCCCCGGCCTTCTGCGGCTCCCAGCATGATGCAGCCTGCGGTCCTTGCTCCTGGTGGGTGAGGCTGCCGTTGTTTGCTTAGTGATGCTGGCCTCGCCACATCAGGGAGCACCCTCGGGCTCTGGCTGAAAGATCTCCACAGATCTCCTCAGGACCTCATGATGGCAAGGGGAACTCACACCGAGAGGAGGGCCAGGGAAGCCATTCGACACGAAAACCCAGTCCAAAGATTCAGAGCAACTCCCCACAGAATCCAAACTGCTTCAGATTGTGGCCTCTGTCTGGTGGGAGCTGCACCCACCCCAGCAGCAAAGTCAACCCAGTAGCAACCTAATGAATATTAGGCAGCCTGCCATCTAAATTTCCCACAGTGCCCTGATATGGCATACCTCCAGAGCATTGTGGGAATTAGGTCCCCACAGGGACCTAATTGGTCCTTTCCATCAAGGGTGGGCAGAAACCAGATCTGCAGATGCTTTGGACTTCATTTCCCAACATTCCTGACCATTGGTGCTGCAGGTGGGGCTTCTGGGAATTGAAGTCCAACAGATCTGGGGATCAACCTTATGCCCACCTCTGCCTTACACCCACCCCTCCCTAAAAATATGGAAACTTAGCACATCCCAAGGAAAGTTTTTCCATACATTTGTCCCTGAGATGCTAGCTTTCTCCATGCTGGGCTTTCCTGATATGAGGGAAGCATTTAAAGGCTTGCCCACCTGCATTTTGAAATGGTCCAAATGCAGAGCAGCTGCTCTTCCTTAACAGTTCAATTGGTTCTGCTGTCTTTGTCCTTTGGAATTGAATCCAATTCTGGAAAGGCCGGAGCAGCACCTTAACTGCTGAGTCATCTGCTGACAGCAGCAAAGTCAACCCTAAGCACAAGTTTGGGGACCAGGCAAATTCAGAGCTTGTCACAAGCATTTTTGGACTGGCACACAGGAAGAAGGGACAGAAACAAGTATCTCCACCATTGGCTCAGGGTGGTCCCTTATATCATGTTAATGTGGGTTGAGCAACTTCAGATTCTTGTAATGTTTAATAGGGGAAGCTGGCTGCAGCAGTGCTTCCTTCCCTCCTTTACATTTTTGTGGGATAGATGGGAGCCCTTCTGCATGCCACAAGTTTCCCCCAAGACTTCCCATAAATTTCTCATCCTTCTGTGCACGAGTAGGTTTCAGGTACGTGAGGATCCACACTTGAGGAAAGAATTCCCAGTTAGTGCATAAGATAAATCCCACTGGGAAATGCAGCAAACGCTGAACAGGCTGCTACCTACGGACTCTTTATCTGAGTTTTTATCTACAGGGACACTGGCTGAGCATTGACTAAAAGTGCAGCCTCGCATCTCCAGACGAAGGCAGTGCAGCTACACATGTGACCTGCCCTGGACACCAGCTGCCTGAGGGGGGCCTCCTTGTTCCCATTCCTGCCAGGGATGGAGCTGCAATACAGGATGCATGAGCGACTCATGGCAGCATGGTTTTGACTGGATTTATTCTGATCACAGCTGAGTATGGATGGAACATGGACTCAAACAGAATCTAGGACTGATGTCTGTACAAGCTTGTGCTGTATTTTGCAGACACCCAACACTGCATTTTGACAGCATGTGTACCTTTGGAAAATCTGCACATTAAAAATGCTTATTGTAGGAAATGGAGCATAAGTACACACCAGAAAACTAGTGAAGAATGCACACAATTCCAACTAGAAACAGAAATGAGTCTCGCCCATCCGGATGCAACAATTTAAGGAGGAAGAGCGCAACCTAGTGTTCATGTAAATTATGTGCCAGTTTTGAGCTTTGAGAATATACTGAAGCTGTTTCTTTGTGTGTGGTTTTCCAGATGTTGTTAACTACAGCTTCAATCATCCCTGGCCAGCACAGCCAATTGCCATGGATGATGGCAGAGAGACTGTGGTCCAACAACACCTGAGGACCCAAAGTTAGAAGGACTGCTATAAAGCATGGAAAAGACTCTGTGATCCCCAGATATTGTTGAGACTTCAAAACCCACCACATCTGGCTATGATGGCTGGAAATTATGAAAGATAGAGTCCAAAAATATCTGGAGGGTTAGAGGTCTCTCTCACATCCTAATCATACAGGAATGGGGAAGCTCTGCTATAGCATGAGGCAGAATCCTTTCAGTAATGGCACCTAGCCCATGGATCTCTCTCCTTGTGGAGTCCTCAAGGCCCCTCCAATGAGCGAATTAAATTTCTATTTCCCATTTTAATGTAACAAGACTAAAAATCAGCAATGAAAGTCAATTTTGCATTGTGTAATCATAGAATCACAGAATAGTAGAGCTGGAAGGGGCCAGAGGGCCATTGGGTCCAACACCCTGCTCAGAGAACTTCAGGTTAAACCATCCCTCTAAGATGGCTGCCCAGTTGCCTCTTGAATGCCCCTCTAGTGTGGGAGAGCCCACAAACTCTCAAGGTCATAGGTTCCACTGTTGCACTGGGCAGGAAATTTTTCTGATCTCTAGCTGGAATCTGGCTTCCTGTTACTTGACCCTGCTACTGAGACTGTGTCCTGCAGTCTGGTATGATCAAGAAAAGATTCTGGCCTTCCTCTTTGTGACAGCCATTCAAGCCCTTATAGAGTACAATCATATTTCCCCTCAGTGTTCTCTTCTCAAGGCTAAACATGCCAGATTCTTTCCATCTCTCCTTACAGGGCTTTCTTTCCAGTCCCTGGATCATCTTTGATGCCCTCCTCTGAACCCCTTCCAGTCTGTCTCCATCTTTCTTAAACTGTGGTGTCCAAAACTGGACACAGTACTCCAGATGAGGCCTAACCAGTGCTGAGTAAAGGGGAATGAGCACTTCATGGGATTTGGAAGTGATACTTCCATTAATGCAGCCTAAAATAGCATTTGCCCTCTTTGCAGTCACATCACATTGCTGACTCATATTCAGCTTATGAATAATGCAAGTTTTGTTGATATTTTAAATTCTGACCGTGCTTTAGACTGGAAAAACAACCTGGACGCACTATACATAAAATAAAAATAAAGCTTCATAGCAGGCATTATGGGACAAAAAATTTCCAGAACATAATTTTCTCTATTATACGATGGGAAAAAAAGTTTGTTTCTAAAAATGCATTTTTTCACAAAATCAAACTAGCAACATGATGAATCAATAGCATACATGGATTGAATGGTATGGGTACAGTAACATTAGGCTGGTTCAAAGCTGAAAGTCACTTTTTTCTGAGCTCCAGAGCTCTTTGGCATGCTAAAATTAGCACATTAGCAATGTTTATTCTTTACCCTCCCCCATAAACTAATGTTAGCGGAATGTCTGCTGTAGAATTCCCATGTCCTAAATGTTAGCCAGAAAGGTGCAGAATCCACGTCTGAGGGCTAAATCCAGCTGTCTGTGGTTCCCCAAAGCACCATGTCCTTTCCGTCAGCCCCATCTCTTTCCCCCAAACAACCAGTCATTAGGTACTTTTCGTTTTTCCAGAGGATTTCCCCCCTATTTGGAAATGCTTCTCCCAATGCTCAGTTACTGGCAGGAAGAGTTTTCTGCTAAAATATGCTGACCGTTTTTCTATTTTAGGCTCCTCTCTTTTGCCTTTTGCACTGCCCGCTGCTTGAAGTGACCCTGGACATTTTCCAAAGTGCAGTTTGGCCCTCAGGCCAAAAGAGGTTGTGATTTGCAAGTATTCGGATAAAAGGATAGGTTAGATTTAATGCTTTATTTTGAAGGCCGCATTTCCACACATGCATGGAGCAAAGCCCTGAGGGACTCACGATGGCAGTCGGAAAGAACGGGGGAAATGGCAGGAACCCCTCCTAGATATACTGGGGCGTGGAAGGGGGCCTTGGAAATCTTCCCAAGAGCAAGCCGTGGGCGGGTGCAGAGCCCAAATGTGTAATGCACAGAGACCACGAACATTAAATTCAGGGTCTAAAACAGGGGTCCAGTTGAAAGGCGGCGGCGGCGGCGGCACCGCGAGGAGGCTGCGCTGCTGGCCGCCCTCAGGCTCACATAATTAAAAATAGATTTAAAAAGTTGTATTTTACTTACTTTCAATCCTTTTGAGTTTTTCGTCTCCGCCTTCTTCGCCCTTTCTTTCGGCCCTCCTCTCTTGTTTCCCGCTCCATATTCCCGCTCTGTGTGTGCGCGTGGGGGGGGGGGGGATTGCAGCGCATGCACAGCTGAGCTGTTGCAATTTGGGCATGGGCCACTCTCTCTCTGCTCAGTTTCGGAGAACGCCTGCGCTGCCTTAGAGGCTTGGACTCGCTCGGAGATCGTTTTCTCTGACCCAGTCCAAAACCTCTGAGGTGGGCTGGATAAATGGGCATGTCAGCCAGCGGGCTGTATTTTGAGGACCATGGTCTAAAATCGTGCAGTTGCACCGCATACAGGGAAGGTGGAATGCAAAGCTCCTGGCCTCTGAAAAGTTATCACAGGTAACCTACTTGTGTCACACCAATATTTGCTAGACTTCAGGGTAGGGAAAAATATGAGAATGAGCAGGAACAGAGCCAGGGCTGAGCAGGAAGAAGAATCCTCATAGGCCATGAAAAATTAAAACATTCATTTATTAGAATATTTATGTAAAAAGACTCTTTTTACACATATTTTTATACAATAGTTTTCATTGCTTTAACAGCTCTGTGCTGGAGGCAGAGCATTTAGACACGAAAGCACGATACAGGCCGTTGCGGGCTATTGGGCTCCCGCCCAGCCTGAAGCAGAGAGCAAAGGCAAAGCCCAAGTTAAATAGAGAATACAGAATTGTGGGGGGCAAGCTGGGGGGCCCCCTTTCTGCCGCTCGTCCCCTTTCGCTCACCTGTGCCGCTTGCAGCTCGTCACCTCTGGTGCAGGGTGAGGGTCCCGGGAGTTGGGGGTGGCCACTACTTGGATGGAAATACAGACAAGCACACACAGAGCAAAGGACGGGCCAAGGCTCGGCCCTTCCGTATGGGTTGCCAGGGTCAACCAGGCAAACAGAGCGGCAAATCACAACACCATTTCGCACGGGCAGACACTGTATGGCTAAAAAGGCACGGCACCGGGGCCAAGAGAGGACGTGCCTCCTTGGGGGAGGGCAGGAGGGAAGGCTACGGACTACTAGAAAAAATCAGCGGGCACCAGCACAGCACCCCCCTTGAAAGACTTCTTGGAGGCAGGACCACAATGTCCAGTTTGGTAGCTGAAGTGCAGAGCTGATCCTGGATTGTGGGCAGCCCCCGTCGCTTTGTCTTGCGTCCCCCCACGGTACGCGCAGCACATGTCCAACCGTCACAGCTACAAAATGTTGGAATAGTTCGGATCTCTCTTGCTGCAGGGCCAAGCCACTCCTGCCACCCCAGATGTTTTGGCTCACAGACTCCATCACCCCTCCATAGTGCACTAGTTAGGACTAGTGAGCGTTGTAGGCTGGGAAACCATGGGGAATCCCTCAGCATCTGGCCACGGAAGGCCATCTTCTGCTAAGGCAGGGTGGGCCATTTGTAGTCCCCGAATGTTCCTGGACTGCCAGTTCCAGAATCCCTCACCACTGACTAGGTCGGGTATGGCTGAGCAAAGTTGCAGTCCAGTCTTTGGAGGGCCACACGTTGCCCTCCACTGGCCTTGGGGCTGCTCTAAGCAGGAGGCAGAGTGCTTGGCCGAACTATCCGTAGACCATATCACTTCAGATTACAGGGTGGGAGCATGCCTTAATCCTCCCCACAAATTGGTGCAATTCCCCACAAAGAAAAAATAAGATCATCGTAAGGCAAAAGCTAGACTAGCACACGCTCCCTCGCCATGCTGGTTTCCTATGTGCAGAGCATTCCCCCCTCCCCCATGGGGAGGCATTAAATCTGCCTCTTCCCGCACCTGTTGCCTGGAGTGGGACTGTCCCCAGTTGGATCACAGCCCTATTCAGGCATTCTTGCGGAGCCGCATGCGTGCAGGAGTGGGGAAGAGGAGCTGGCTCTGGATCCTCGTCGCCTTTCTCCTTGCCCTGCAGGTGCTGCTGCTGAACTCCTGCAGGGCGGACTTGCTGCATCCTGCTTTTGGATCCCCTGCACTGCATTTTTTTCCAGGGTTGTGGAATACAGAAGGCTTCCAACTACCAAAGTTTGCCTGCATTTGTTCACGCTCTCCCCATTTGGACTCCACAGATCTGCTTGTTCTGTAGACAAGACCTCGTCTTAGCAGACCATGCCCTGCTCTCCTGCATCATGGGGGAAAAATTCCTCTGGGTCTTGCTTTTATTCTAAGGATGGATTTACTTCTGCTTATAGAATAATCATGGTGCTTTGGCTTTTTGTATAGAGCATGTGTGTCAGCAAAGAGAGAGTTGGAGTTTTATAGAGCAGGCGAATGAGAGAGGCCAAATCCCAAGAAACCCAGAATGGTGGTGGAGGCAGTGAAGAAATTGGGGGAGGCGACTGAACGAGGCATGGGAAGAACTGCACCGTCTACAGAAGGGTGATGGAGCCCCTTGCAGGAAAAGAGTGGGGAGTGTGCTATAGAGAGCGGGGCTGGTGGGGAGGGGTGTTCCCTGCTGGGAGAGGTATCTGTGGAAGAAGTGACGGGCTGGGATTACATCTTTTCTGGATCACATATTGCTAAAAGGGAAGACCCAACCTAGCTATCTAGAAGATTAAATGTTCTGAGTCGGTAAGAAGGGAAGGGGGGATGATTAGAGATATTCACTGGGGCAGGGGTGGATGGCTCAGGGCCTGGAAGCCTCGGCCAGCAATGCAGGATTTAGGAGCTGCAGTCTCACACCTGGAGGGCTACCAGTTGCCCCCACCCCCCCCCCCCCCCCCGGGGGGGCAAGTCGTGTGTCTCTGCAGCTTGTCTGCCCTCGGACAGAGCAGGGGGTGTGAGCTCCTGACAGGCATTCCAGGGACCTTCAAGGAATCCTTTGTCACCCTTTAAAAAACAAGTTACCCTGTATTTTTAAAAAGAAATGAAATAAAAAAATAAAGTAGCAATTTGATATGTACAACCACATAGTCATCTTTGGTCAACAAAAGGCTCTTTGAGAGTGTGTGCCGTTTGTAAAGTAACTTAGACCATGATGAACGAGCGAGTCGCTCCAGGGAAGGGGGAAGCAAAGAGGCGCTCAGCCAAGGGGACATTGGAGAGTACGGAATGGAGCAGGTGGTGTGACCCGTGTCATGTACGGCTGTGCAAATCCTGACAGGTAGTGGAGATGGGCAGGGGGAGCTGTGCCCTCAAGCCAGCTCACCCACCTAATTTCCCAAACTGGCACAAGGTCAAACCTTAGTGTCTGCGCACACATCAAGGTTAGGTTCTAGGGAGCAAATGGCTCATGTTTTTCCTCAATCAATTCAAGAAAAACTAAACTCAGCAACCATACGGTTCAGGAGCTGAAAGGGTGAGAATAACTTAGCTATGGCTTCACAGAATTTAAAAAAGATCCCTCTTTCCTATTATAATGCATGGAGTGACAGCTGTCACTCAACTATTGCCTGGTACTAGAAACGGGTGTCAGAAAAAAAGTGTGGCATCTGAGTTGAGGGTGGAGGCACTAAGCACTGTTGAAATGTCATAACAACTAACTCCCTCTGAGCCAGAAATCCTCTAAAAATAAAGTAAAACCAACTGGGTTTAAAGCACACCTGGCTCAGAGAGTCATGGACCCTCTTTGGAGGAAGAGCAGCTGAGAGGCCTGCTGCTCCCAAGATCAGTGTGAGCAGAGAACAAGCTGGAAATAGAACTGGGGAGTTAAAGCAGCGTGCCCTGAAGGTCCAATGTCACCATCTGCCTTGGGCATGCCTGAACTGCGCCCGGGCTCAGAAGGGTGTTGCAGGGGGACCGGCACAACTTGAGAGCCACCCGGCTGGAGCCCCTGTTTGCACGCTGCAAGGCAACCCAGAATTTCCTCAGATTTTCTGGTGCATTTAGAGGGTGGGCGTGTTTGTGCGTGCAGGTGGGAAAGTGCAACAGCAACAAAAGACCAGCTCTCCAAAGTGCAAACGCACAAGAGGTTTCAGGTGCCCAACCGACAGCAGTTTCTTGACATGGCAGGAAAAAGCAGCACTTGGGCAAAAGACACCCCGTCCTTGAGGAGACGTTCCTCTTGCTGGTGTAGGGATACCAGCTTTTGTTTTTTTTCCAGGAAAAGGAATTCAAGTTCAGCGGATGCTTCCTTGGCAAAGCTGCCCAGTTGGCATGAGGTGTGTTCCATTTGATTTTGTCAGACCTCCTAGCACAGCTTCCAAAATGAAGAGAAAGAGAGAGAGAAGAGAAAGAGAGAGAGAGAGAGAGAGAGAGAGAGAGAGAGAGAGAGAGAGAGAGAGTCCATGATAGATATATATGTGTGTCTACGTATGCACGCCTGAGTGGGTGACGGAGCGTGCATGTGTGAGCACATGTACAGGAAGCTCCCCTAGACAGGCCAGGTCTAGCAGTGCAACTCAAGGCTCACTGTCCTTTGGGGATGAAGGGCTCCCCCTCTTCCGGGTCGGGCCGAGGCCCAGGGTCACTCAGGCATCGCATTATCCGCTGGTTGCTTGGGCTGTCGCCAGTTCCGGGGGTGAACACATCATCTGTGCCCGGAGAGGAAGGCTCTTTGGCGCGCATCACCAGCCCTTCCTCGTCCTCATCTTCTTCCGGGGATGGAGGGAGGCGGTTCATCCCCTTCAGCGCCTCGTTCACCAGGTCAACAGACTCGGGAGACTGCGGGGAGGCTGGGTCGATGGTGATGATGGGCAGGTTCTCCGAGTCTGGCTTGGGATCATAGGCCAGCGGGTCTGGAGGGGGAGAGGAAACACAGGCGCTGCTGAACGGACACAAGCAGCCGGGCCAGAGTTTTGCAAGCTCCTGACCGCAGAGGAGGACATTTTTCCAAACTAAAATTCTGCATCTACAAAGGTTAATCTCCCCTGCTGCCACTGCGCCCCCAGCTGTTCTCCCCAGGAACTGATATTACGGAGGTTGTTTGGGACTTCCAGGCAGGGTGAAGGCTGAGACACTGAACTTTTAGCACACACTGAGTCAGAGCTGCATAATGTTTCACACTCAGGAGCATGCATCAGATTCCAATTTTAAGAAACAATTTAGCTCATCATAACTGTTCTATAATATTGCACAACTCTTGCTAGCCAACTTCTCAAATGCAGCGAGTTTGTTTTCAGATGCTTCTTCACCTGCAGTTGATTATTCCATTGCAATTTTTATTAGTTCATTAATATTAGTTGTTATTGATATTAGTTATTTTTATTTAGATATTTTTAATATCCACTGATATTCTTATTAGTTCATTCAAGCAATCAGGTAGAGTCTTTTTCTTTTGAAATCATGCATGGTACTCAGCTATGGGGTGGGGAAAGAACATCGAACTGTAGTAACATTTCTAAGTAACCTGAGATATTTTGTTCAATTCTGGGAAACACACAGCACAAAAAATGGGTTGACATGACTTTTCCCCTAATAGAAAATGACAACATTTAGTGCTATAATAATATTGGAACTTCAGATGCTCTCCGTGGCAGTCACCACACCCACAAAGAGATCCCCAAATTCAGGCAGTTGTGCTGGTCCTTCTCAGTGAACCCATCCCACCAGCTGCCATCTTTTGTAAAGCTGTTAGAGCTCCACCACCCATTCCGCTTCCACTGTGAGAGGAACAAGGCATCTCCGCTGGGAAAGTTCATTTCCCCAGGTACTCTGAAGATGAGAGCCCTACACACCTTCATTCATAGACATCTAAGACCTCCGTGAGCAGGAGTGACAGAACCTGGAGGTGGGGCTATTCGGTGGGGAACAGTCATGCAATGGAAGCCCCTTCACAGGTATGGAAGGGGTATGGAGCCAAGCTCAGGGAACCACGGTTCCATCTGGATGCCAGGAGGTCCTTCCTGACAGTTAGGACCCCGAGGGTGTGGAATGGGCTTCCACAGGAGGTGGCTGAAGCCCCGTCGGTGAGGGTATTCAAGGACAGGCTGGGCATGCACATGGTAGGCATGTTGTGAGCGGAGCCAGCTGGAGCTGGGGGTCAGACTAGATGGCCCGGGAGACCCCTTCTGTCTCACTCTGCTTCTACTGGCAACAAACACCTAAATGAGGCTTTCTCAGGGTAGCTGTCCCTGAGCCTTAATTCTATTCATTTTGTTCTGCCCACTAGTGGGTGGGAGACTTCGGGGGCCCTCAGCACACGGCCTGGGCAGCTGCAGAACTTGGCTAATACAGAAGGGCACAGCACCTCTACGAAAAGGAAGGCTTGGTAGAATAGGGTGAAGCAGGGGTCTAAGCAGGGAAGAGAAGCTACGCGGGGATGAGGGATGGCTGGGTTTCCATTCTCAGTTCAGGAATGACATAAAGGGCGGGGAAGGCCTGTACAAGTCACAGCAGGGATGGCTGGGTTTCGTTTCATTACCTGCCATGGAGGACGAGTGGCAGCTGAATTTATAGGCAAGGGTCTGATAAAAAGAAAGAAGAAAGGCACGAGGAAGAGCTGGTAGCACGACCCGCCAGAGAGATCCAGTAGATGCCCCTCAACCCCGTTGCAGCCTGAGAGCTGGATTCCAGCACCACATTTCCAGTGGGAGGGCAGAGCTGAAGGCAAAATGGGTGGATCATGCCCCCCCCCCCACAACACACCAGCAAGGTTTATCTTAAAGCTCTTTCTACCTTAGGAGAGGCAGGTTTAGAAGCGGGGAGGAGGTGGATCTGCACAAGAGCTGGGAAAACCCCAACAACTGGAGGCTGGGGGAAGGAGGCAGAGGAAGGGGTCAAGGTCTTCTCAGGAAATCTTGGAAGCCCAAACTGAGCACCCTGAAAGGCCAGGTATGTCCTCTGTGCCTGAGATTTTGCATCCTGTATTAATGCATGACCTGTCAGGCAAGGAGGATAAGCAGCAGCAGAAACTCTGCATGAAATTTTGCTTCTGAATCATCCACTTCCTCTTGGTTACCAATTTCTAATTGTGGGAGATCCTAAAAGACCCCCTTCTTCTCACCTGAGCCAATGCGCGCCCGTGACATGGTTGGAGAATCGATCTTGTGTGTCGGCACCGTTAAATAGTTGTTTATCTGTAAACAGAAACACACAGTGGCTCACTTAAAGTCTGTTCTACCTCCGAGACCCCAGAACAAGGCTGGCCGCCTTCCAGTTCTTTCCACGAACTTTAACTGGCCAGGATGTCCCAGCTACATATCAGGTTGGTGGCTTTTGAAGTTGGAGACCCTGGATTTCTCTGGATGCCTATGAGGGGCTCTTCAGTATGAAGATCAAGAATGATGGATTATTCCCACAAGCCACCCTCCCCTTCAACTGATCCTGGCCTCCCCGGGACCACACCTTCTGTTCCAGCTGCCGAGCTTTCTGCCTTCGCAGCAACATCTGGTTCCAGGCCTCTTCGTACGGGTCTGCCACCAAGGTGTGTCGGTTATATGAACGCAGCTGGAACAGAACTCACAAGAGGTTAGAAAGAACACACACTTGCAAACACAAGTAACCACTGGAAAATGATGACGGAATCAACTGCAGCCACAGCACGGTACGATCCTTATTTCCTCTCAGGGGCTCTGTGGTACCTCTGTGACAGGCAGATGGTGAGAACTGCCGCCAGCTCCACCCCCCCCCCCTTTAAGTGCAAAGCTGCAGAGGGACAAGTCTAGTTCTTGGGGGAGGGGGCCTGCCAGTGGTGGGCAGCACTGAAGGCAAGAGGCAGGAAAAGCAACCCAAACGCCTGTATATTTTAGCACAGAGCTCGTATTGCCAGGAACAAAGACTTGCGAGAGGCATTTCATCCTCGGAGGGTGGGAAAAAGTGCTGAAGCCAAGAAGCCACTAAACTATGAGGAAATGAGCTGCCTGGGAAATCCCCGGAGGGTCAAACGCCAGGTTAGAGCTGCCAGGTTACTAACAGGGACCAGCAGATACTCCCATATCACGCCGGTCCTGTGCCATCTACACTGGCTGCCAATGGAAGTCCAGGCCCAATTTAAGGTGCTGGTAATGACCTATAAAGCCCTAAAGGGCTTGGGTCCTGGATACCTGAAGGAGCGCCTTCTTCCCTGTGTGCCTGCCTGCCCCTTGAGATCTGAGGCAGAGGTCCTTCTCCGGGAGCCCTCTTTGAAGGAAATTAGGAGGGGAGCTACCTTTTTGGCCTTTTTGCCAGTGGCGCCCTGACTTTGGAACATGCTTCCCAGGGAGGTTTGCCTGGCACCATCGCTTTATTCTTTTTGGTGTCAGGCAAACCCCTTTTTATTTTCCTGACATTTTAATATTTATTTGGGTTTATCTTTGATTTTATCACTATGGTTGGATGCAGTGTATTGTTTGCTGATATGTTTTTGTCTTTTGTAAGCCATCCAGAGACTGACAGCATATAAAAACTTTAAATAAAAACAATAAACGAATGGGGAGCCAGGCAGGCTGGGTTTGTCCCTCGCAGCAAAGGCTCAACAGCCCTATTCAGCCCCTCCAGTGTATGGCTGCTCCAGAGAGCGGGGCCAGGCCTTCCTGCCCAGTGGCCCCATCCATCTCTGAACTGGTCGGCCAGGGTCAGTTCTGCATCTAGCTGGGCAGCAAAGCTTTGCCACTAAGTGCCGGGGCTGCCACAGCAGGGTGTGAATGCAGATCTGGCTCATGTGTTTTTATGTGGCCATGAGAACTGACCTCAGAGGACATGGGAGGGCCAGGAAGGGCTCTGGAAGGAGGACTGACCAGCCACGGCATTCCAGACCACAGGGCCCAGCACAGAACAAGTTCTTACCCTCTGTCGGGTTTTTTGCAAGTTGTTACGCAGGATCTTCCGGATCTCCTCCTCTTTGTCCTTCGAAAGAGCTGGCAGGAAGCGTTCCACAGGCAAGGTTTTTGGATTGATATTCCTGCGATGGAAGAGAATCGGGGAAAGCAAGGCTCTCACAAGTTGCTGGCCAAACTGTCCTAGCCTCATATTTTAATTTTTCCTGTAAACAGCGCCGGAATCCTCAACAAAGGGCAGCATATATGTCTTTTGTGGGGGCAGGGACAGAGGGAGGAAGAGCCCTTCTCAGATGCTTAAGCTGGATTTGTAGACACTTACCGTATTCAAGCCAAGCTGGGAACTGCATGCTTTCCCAGTCCCGCATTTTGCCATTTCTCCCTCATCTCATCCCCATCTCTAAGCTTCATGAGCTCTCAATTTTGCATGGGATTTCCACCCAGGTAACTTTCAGCCGGGGCCACGACTCCCTCACTTTTAGCACCACCTCCTTTGCCAAACGGCGGTGGCAACATAATAACGCCTTTGAGCAATATAATGAAGCCTTACAGCAATTGCCGTAAGGATGGGTAACAGCGACTCTCGCTGTGTGAGGATCGCTGGCCAGAGCTGCAGATTCCCTTCGCCCCGTCCCCCTCAAGCCCAGCCGGGATGGCTGCTTCAGCTTCTCTTGTGGCAGAGAAAGAGCCCAGTCGGGGGAACAGGCTGAATGGGGAGCGTTCTCCCCGCATACTCCCTTCCTCCCCTCCATCGGGCTCCCGACAGCCTGGATCCGCCATGATACTCACTGCATGGAAACGGTGGAAACAGCAGAGGGGATCTTGCCCATTCCTCCACTCTCCACCAGCTCGATGGCTTGCTTCATCTCCATCTTGTGATAGAAGGCGATCAGCTGGGGCTCTTTCGATCGCTCCCCGGCAATCAGGCACTTCTTCACGTATTTCTTGTTGAAGCGGTTCAGCCTTCGGGAAGCAGTGTCAATGGAGGGGCAGGGCGAGTGGGGATAAACAACATAAGAAAAGGCATAAGAAAAGACCATTCAACCAGGATGTTGAGTTCAGGGGTGGGGAAGACCCAGATCTTTCTGATGTCCTTGGACTAAAGCTACCATCATCCTTGACCCTTGAGGAGATGGGAAATGCAGTCCCTGAGCTTAGTCTTGATTAGCAGAACTGCCTTGACCTTCTTGGAGCAGGGGATGGAGACAGTTAATAAATTCACATCCAT